AAAAATTTGGGTTCTTCTTAATTAACGACGAAGGGAACAAGGATTGATTCCGGGGTAATCAGATTTCTGGCAAATCAGGCTAAATTACATGAATTTAATTTAATTGAGCCTAGCTAATCAATACTAAGTTCTTACCGCTCTCGCGGCGTAGAGTACAATAATTTAGGGGATGAGGCTGATCTCTCATGCGACAGGATCCTAAATTATTGCCAAGACGAGCGAGCTTACGGCCCCTTAATCGTTACTAATCTCTTAGCGAACGATTAAGTGTGTGTGAATGTGTCCTAGAACAAATTAGATCTCTCTTAATTTATTCTATATGCAATTGTAATTCTAGTGGCCATTCTAGGTTACAAAAGATATCAATTAAATTATTCAAACACAAATTAAACGGCATTCATGCAATTTACACCATCAAGAACCTAACCATACATCATGATTAACCCCTTCATCAACCCCAAATCCCTAATTAAAACTACTCCCTATTCATAATTGAAGAATCAATAGAATTGGGAAGAATAGAAATAATTGTCATTAATCAAAAAGTAGGAATTTACAAAGAATGTTAAGGAATTGAAAAACCTGGCTGAAAAAGCTCTCTAATCTCGTCCTTAATCTCTCTCTAAAATTCCATCCCCCCTAATTAGGGTTATGGGGGTGGTATTAATAGGAAACAAGGCAATTTGGGGTGAACTATGACAGATTTTGGGTACGCACGGCACCACGCACGCGTGCGTGGCGTCCGTGCGTCCGACAGACGTCCGCATAAAAAGGGGGACGCACGCGTGCGTCCCTAGCCACACACGCGTGCGTGGCTGGCAGTAAGGTGGTCTTCGTTTTCTTCACTGGACGCACACGTGCGTCCTTGCACGCACGGCCGTGCCTGGCCCTTTTTGTTCCGAATTCTTCGTTTTCTCCCGTTCAAGTCCCCGTTTGGCCCCGCGATCAATCGAACAACTTTTTCTTCATCGAATCTTCATCGTGAATCTCATGGTGCCCTTCAAAACTCTGAATTCATTCTCGAACACTCCTCAACTCATCCTGGTCAATCCTTAATGCGCCGATACCGGGCCCTAAAAGACCTGATTTCATATCTAAAAATTGCCAAAACTCGTTCCAACACCCAACTAACATGACTTGAGCTAAATATGATGCTTATGATGCCTCAAAGCGAGGGAACCCATCAAAATCCGACTCCAACACGCATTAAGAGCGTGTTGAAATACGAACTTATCAGCGGGCCCGGGACCGGTCTGGTCTGGCAGTCTGGGACCGGGTGGAGACACTAAACTGGGGGGAGGCGGGCGGGCTTGGTTCAGGGAAAGTGCGACCCGACTCGGCCAGGTCGGACCCGGGTCCGGGTCGGGTCCAACGGTCAAATGCCAAAATTTAAAAAAAAATGGGTTTGGGCCACAAGTAGCCGTTGGGGGTGGGCTGGAGGGGGGGTCCGGGCGGTCTGGGGGTGGGGTGGGGTGGGGTGGGGTGAAAAACTATAAATACTCCTAATCTTAAACATTTTTCCAGATCTCTTCTCCAAAATCTTGTTCTCTACTCTCTAATTATCTTCATCTTCTCAAATTCTCTTATTCTCCAATATATTATATATCTACTTATATTATTTATCTACTTAGAAATACATATATTATAATTTATATTACTTATATTTCTTATCTACTTATATTGTTATATATTAATTATTTGTTTATAAATACATATATTATATTTGTTATCTACTTAATCTCTACTTATTATCTACTTATATCTACTAAATACATACATATTACAATTTATATCTACTTAGTTAGAATTGTTAAAATTTTATTACATTAAAGTTAGAATTGTTAGAATTTTATTTCATTAGTTCGAATTGTTTTTTGTTACATTTTTAAGATGGAACGTGGTAGATATTCGGTTGATATGGGTAACCTCGAGTGCAACCGAACGAAAGAGCTTGCGAGGAAGAAATCCCACAAAGGTAAATCACATATTGGCTCTTTATCTCAAAGCCGAGATGATTTTGATACAGGTTATGCAAGGAGAGATGGGGATGCCATGACCGACGAACAACTTGAACAAGAATTGCACCGGCATAATAGTCGGTTTTCCAAGACCAGTCGAGGACCATTGACGAAGAAGAGCTCGAGGACGACGATGTGGATGAAGTAATTCCGGAGAGCCACGACGGTGACGCGGAGGAGGGTGGCGGAAGCCACGACACCGACGAGCCTGCCTCAACCCAAACAGGTACGAAAAAAGTAGATCTGAACTAATGCAAAATAATTTTGATAAGTGGAAGGACCCGAACACCGGGAATTGGAACGCAACTTGCAAGTGGTGCAAGAAAAATTATAGCTTGGGGATTTCTGGCGGATACGGATCCGCCACAAGGCATCTTAAGGCCAAACACCCGGTGGAGTATGCAAAATTAGGCGGTGGAACGGGGAAGCAAACTCAAATATCGAGATTTGCAAATAACCAACAACCTTTGGATAATTTCTCATACAATGTTGCACAAAATTTGACACGTATGGCTAACTTACTTGTTGAAGAAAATTTGCCTTATTTGTTTTCTGAAAGTCTTGCTTTAAATCCTCAATATAGAGGTTATAGTCACAAAACGGTTAAGAAAGAAATTTCAAGGCTTTATGGTGCGGAAAAGGTAAGGTTACAAAATTATTTTGCAAACTTTGATGGGCGTGTTACTGTATGTTCTGACATATGGGAGGATACTTATCATAATTTACATTATTTGGGTTTGATTGTACATTATATTAATAATGATTGGAATATTCATAAACGTGTTCTTGTTTTTCGTGAATTTAATGATCGTCACCCCGCTGAACATATTTATATTTTGATTGAGCGTATTTTAATTGAGTATAATTTAATTGATAAGGTGTTTGCTATTGGTTTTGATAATGCTACTAATAGTACTGCTGCTATTCCTAGATTGCGTGAATTGTGTAGTTCTACTTTTTTTATGAATAGATTTTTTCATCATCGATGGGCATGTCATGTTATTAATTTATGTGTGCAAGATGGTCTAAAAGCGTTAGGTGCATCTGTGGAGATAGTCAAGGGGGGGGATTAGACGTATTTGGGGTAATGGTCAAATTAGAAAAAAATGGCATGATTATTTGATTGAAAGAGGTGAAAAATATGTGGCTTTTCCTAAAGATTTGTCTATTCGTTGGAATAGTACTTATAAGTTAATTACAGTTTTTCTTAGATATAAACAACATTTTCCTGCTTTTATGAAACAATATGATAACTATATTATAAACTCGGCTGAGATCGACACCAACGAAAAAAATTGTAATGCTTTGGTATATTTTAATAATGCAACTGAAACTTTTAGTCATGTTTATAAACCTACCTCAAACCAATTTATTCGTGAAGCTGTTAATCTTGCCAGTGCTTTTTAAAATTTTGAGAATGCCGATTATGTGAGTTATTTTGCTAGTTTTATGAAGGAAAAGTTTTTAAAATATTATTCACATATCCTGCATATTTATGGTATTGCATTTGTTCTCGATCCTCGTTTTAGACTTGGTTCTTTTGAAAATGTTTGAATTATTATTATGCTGCTTTTTTGTCCAATGCCAATGTATGACGACAACCCAATTGATCCGGAAAAAAAAATACAACGAGGTTAATGATATATTTTATGCATTATTTAATGAGTTTCATGCACAATATGGCAACGCAGCCCCTCCTCCGACACAAACCTCTTCATCTAAAGGAAAATCAATTTTGAATTCTACATTTGCCAATCTTATTAAAAAAACTAAAACAACACTCGCTACTCAACAAAGCACAATTAATGAGATTTTTTGTATTTAACATATAATGTTGATTTTGAAGAAGATGATGACTTTGACGTTGTAAACTGGTGGAACGGAAAAGAAAGAATGTTCCCGGTTTTAGCAAAGATAGCTAAGCAAGTGCTATCAGAGCCGGTTTCAATAGTTGCCGTCGAACAAGAATTTAGTTCGGTCGGCAATGTCTTAACGCAATGTAGAACGAGGTTGAGCGTAAAATCTTTTGAAATGCTTATATGCTACCGCGATTGGTTGAAAGCGGGCCGTAGAGTTCAAATTATTGACATCACCACATCCCAACACTTTATGGATGAATCTACAACTAAGGGTGGCTCTACCTATTACGGAGATTCCGATTTATTAGTATTTCACTATTTCATGTTTTAATTTTACCTTCAATTGTAAATTTGTAACTTGTAAACTCCTATTCCGATTGTTTTTTTATATGTTTCAAAAATTTCTATAAATACTCCTATTTTTTAACTTTTTTATACACATCTTCTCCAATCTCCACATTTTCTAATATTTTTATACACATTTTTATAAAACATATTTTTATACACATTTTCTAGTATGTATTTAACCAGCCCGGCCCGGCGGGTGGTCCGACCCGTGACCTGGACGGGTGGCCCGGCCCAAATCGGAACCGTCCTTACCGCGTGCCGGTCTCGACTGGGCCTAAACTAGCCCGAGTCCAAGTCTAGGGGACATGGGGAGAGAGAAGGGTGTGAGAGTGACATGCTAGTGAATAGAGATGGATGATAATTAATAATTGGATGGGTGGGGGATACAAGGGTAAATTTGTATAACTAAAATGGAAAGCAGGAAATTATTTTGAGACGATCTAAAAAGGAAATTTTGAAAAACAAATTAGATGATTCTATATTACTCTTTCGAGGTAATTTAACTATCATCATTATTAATTCCTAAATTAATAAAGGCATAAAATAACTTAATTAATCACCATCATAACCTAGTCCTCCATAGATTTTTAAAAATAAAAGAACATTATGGTAGTACATCTGAAGGTCAAGATCAAATCAGAGTAAGAGGTGCATAGCTAATCATCCTACCATGTCAAACTCAGGGACACATGGGTCATTCATTAATAAAGCAACAGAAGGTTTTTATATGGTCAGACGACCCCCACCATAACCCCACAGCCCCAACCACCCTATCCATACATTAATTGCAAAAAAATACTCCGTAAAACTATTGTAAGCTGTTACTACGATTACATCTTGGGTAACACCCTGTTTTCCCTTCTTTTCTGTATCTAAAAAAATTAAGAACGGGCAAAATGACTGGATCACCCCTGGGGTAGTGCAAAGGTCAGACTTTTCCGGCGGATTCAAACGGCCGGTTAGGCGCCCACAGATTAAACGGCATCTGCCGGGATTGCTGGGCTGGCGTCATCGCGGCAGTTGGCGCTGCGGCGACGCGCTCGCACGACGGGCACATGGTGAGGGTGGTCGGCGGCGTCATTTGCATGTAGAACTGCGGGGAAAGCTTGAGCGCCCGCAGTTCTTGAACTTCCTTCTGCAATCTCCGGTTCTCATCCGTCAGGTTCTCGCAGCATCTCTTCAAGAATTCGCAGTCAACTTCCGTTTGCTTCAGTTTTGTCCTGAAAATTGTATCAACTAATTAGTTACCGGCCGCCGGAAAAATCAATTACTGGAAAATCCCAGGGTAATATGGGAAATAACTCACCTTGCCCTTCGGTTCTGAAACCAGACCTCCACCTGCCTAGGCTTCAGTCCCAGCCTCTTGGCCAATGCTAGCTTTTGCTTCTGCAGAAAAAAAATCAGAAATGGCACTGGTTAGTAAAATGACGATAATACCCCCACCTGAACAATAAGCATAAAACGGATGTTTTACTTACGGGATTAAGGGTGTTATGTTCCTTGAAGCTGTCTTCAAGAATGGCTGACTGGTCTTTGCTCAGCCGTAGCTTCTTTCGAGAAGTTTCTCCGTCCTCCTCGTCGCTGGCGCCACGTGAGCACGCTCTCTCGCCATCGTTCTCTTCCGGGTTCGTCATCATGGCCTCCATCTCGCTCCTCTTGTTTCCGCTCACGCTCGACAGCGTGCTGTTAGGCGAAGACACTCCGGCGTCCTCGTCGGCATCGGTCGCCGCCGGCGCTCTGTTCACATCGATTCCTTTCAATAGCGCTCTGCATGCTTCATCGTTCCGATCTGCAGATACATAGACACATATGATTAAGATCCCATTTTCATTTCACTTTTGTTTTTCATTTTCCAAACATACTTCAAGAAAAGGTTCAGATCAGCCGAAAAGGTGGAGGTAAAAGTTACCAAGTCAGTAAAGACTCCACCTTTTTCTTTTTTTATTTGTCAGATCAAAGCCAAACAGATCTGAATGAGGCAAGAAATTAACACTGGTTTACTACAAACCTGAGGAAGGAAACGATTCTGGCCAGGGAGATTTGTGGAAGAGAGTGAAAGGATGGGAAGAAGGAAACACACTGAGGTGCGTTAATGGCGTCTTCATCGTCTGCTGTGCAGCTGACTTTATATTTCCAGGAAAACTCAAACTCAAACTCAGTCCCAGATCTTCTTTTCCTGCCATGGTTATTTCCTCTTAGAAAAAGTGGCAAGTTTTAAGCCTGAAAGCACTTGTGAATCTCCTTCTTGCTTCCTGTGTTTGAACTTTGAAGGTTCTTGAAATGCAATGAAGTTTCAGAGAGAGAGGAGATTGAAGATGATTGAGGAGGATAGGAAGGTAGGGGGGTGTTATATAGGTAGTAGGAAGGAGTGTGGTGGGTGTGAAGGTTGTTTTGGTCTGAGGTCAATCATGGACAAGGGAGTGTCAGGGATACCAATAATCACAATCATAGCTTTTGCCTCCCCAAAAAATATTTTACTGCCCTTTCATATCCTGATATTTCAATTCTTCTTTTTGTTTTGGTCCCCACTTGCCCATACAGCCTTAAATTAAATAATAATATGAGCAATAGTAATGGTATTTAAGATGTTGGACTCCCCTACTTTATTCCATTCAAGACGTGCATGTATCATCATTATTATGACGTTTGACCCGGTTAATCACCCTTTTCAGTCATGCTTAATGAAGTTTTTATTACCTACATGGCTACATTCCTTTTAATCACACTTTTTAATCACCCGGTTATTATGGAGCATAACATGTTGTATGATGAAAACCCTACACTTATACTAAAGGATGAAATAATAAACAGTAGAGAGTAAAAAAACAATTAGGTTTACTCCGCTGTTAAAGTCACAGTTAGGTTAGTAAGACAGGTAAACATGCAAGTTGCTTAAAACGCTGTTTACTAATCGAAATAGATGCTTAAAGTGTCGCTTACTAAGCATACTACCCCTTTCCCCCTACCACCTTCTCCTACGTTGACCCGACCCCGACCCCACCACCACCCCATTCCCTACGCAGACCCTACCCCCACCCTACCCCTACCCCCACCCTACCCCTACCCCACTTGTACCCCTTACCTCGACCCAACCCTTTTACCCCTGCCACCTGCCCCTACCTCGACCCCACCTCCGACCCTGACCCTGACCACACTCACTCCCATTACCATACCCGACCCCTACCTCTTTACCTCATATCACCTGCCCCTACCTCCAGGGGCGGCTTTGAGGGCAGTTGGGGCAGGCAACTGCTTTGGGCCTCAACTATCAAAGGGGCCTCCAAAAAATTCTACTCCGATATTAGTATTAGGTGTTATTCGCAGACCGCCAATACACCAAGTGACAACTGCAAGCAGAAATCACCTTTATAGTTAACTTTAGACTATTCATCCTTCATCAAAGTTGTAGCTAATGAAGTCTTCTATCCAACACAACTTGCAAAACTGGATTTGAATCATCCAATAAAAATATATGAATAAAATGGTGGAAGGTCGCATTCTGAAATCTCAACAGAGATTGTCTGACTTCATCGTCTGTTTTCACCTTGCTTCTCTCCGATTCTCACAATAGTGTCTGTATATGACTTGTAGCCCTTGAAGTTGGCTTTCATATGAAACTTGAATCATGTTTTTTGGATGTTCCTAAGAAAAGATATGCTTGAACGATTGACAGAACATCATCCTGACCGTTGTTTTCAAGCTCTATTCGTCTTCTTTTGATCCCGTAACCAATTCTAGAGCTCTTTTGTCTTCAAACTTTGTCTTTAACACCTCACTGATCTCCGATGCTCCTAATCAACTCCAAAATGCTTCTCAACGCGTCCCTATTGCTTCTCAAACACCGGTGACAAGCTCAAATTCCCTGATTTTGACTCCAAAAATACCAAAACTCGAACCAACGGCCGATAAATATGACTTGAGCTTAAAATTGAGACTTATGACACCTTAAAGTTACGAAAAAACTATCAAAAGCCAATCTCAACACGCATCAACGTCCAACACAGACCGCTAATCGGCTACTGTATATATGCCTCACTGCCCGCCATCGACATGGGTCCTTGGTTAGTGAATCAACTAAGACTCTTCAGCTCTTCTCTCCGAGTCTCGTTCTTGAAGTCTCTTAATACTTTTACAAGTACAAGTTTGTCTTGTGTTTTGAATAAGTTTGCATTTAAAATTTATCCTTTTAAATATTACAAACATTATATCGTGGACTTTGAATATGCTTTTTTTCATAAGGCGATTTTTATTCAATTTATCTGATTTTAAAAGTAATTTGTACATAGTAAATACATTTCGTCTGGGGCCTCCAAAATGCTCAAGCCGCCTCTGCCTACCTCGACCCAACCCCTACGAGTATGGTGGGGGATTGGTATGGGTGGGAGTAGGGGTGGAGGGTAAGGTCATGGTAAGGGTATGGGTAGGGAAGGGGTGGGGGTCAAGTGTGTGAAATTGGGGGTAGGGGTACTGGGCAGGGTAGGAGTTAGGGGTGTGGGTAAGCGACAAAGTACGAGGCGACCCCACATATTATATTATATACTTGTGTTCATGAATGTTTGTGTGTGTATATCTGTAGGATTATTTTAGACATTTTAATGTTAAACGGTGTTTTAAATCCTTTGAAGTAAACATGAGATTACAACACTGTTTATTTTATGTGCCGTTTATTAACGTGAGTCTTAATGAACACCATTTACTAACCCGTGAAGTAAATGTGTCCTTGAGGTATATTCTTCGTGGGTTGGTCTCGGTCCATTATTGAAGGACCGCTCTCAAAATTGAACAGATTGAATCAAATCACATTAGTAAAAGTATAGTAATGATATTACATTATTAGCCATCTACTTCAAACCATGTACAAGAACAACTCTTTACGGGTTATGAAGGGGACACATTTGCTCTAAGTATGGCATATCCTCATGCTTTTAGGTCTATATAATGCTACCTCCGTTCCACTAACATTCTCTCAGTTGTTATTCACTTGATTAACACAATTCACTCTTAATCTCTTACTTTATATTTCAAATTTTTATCGAATTTTATTCTGGTTTTTGCAACTTTGTACGGATTTTAGTATACTTTCTAAATATGTAATCTTTTTCCTAAAATCATTTTGAATGCAGATAGAGATTTGTATGCTTTATCGTTGATCAAACATCATAAATAACAACGAGATCATAATAGTGGAACGGAGGGAGTACTTTATTAATTCAGACTCAGAGTCTAGACAACCTAGAAACTTTGATACAAAGAGAAGCGAAGCCATAGTAGCAAATATGCAATCTTCCTGAAAGAGAAATACATATATACGAGATGTACAAAAAGATGTTTGACATCGTTAATTAACCCAAACATCTTTGCAAATTATAAGGCTTTCAATGATACATAAATTATGATTCAGGGAGTGTTTGACCATTTTACATCATACAAATTAGAAATTGCTCAATATAGAACGAAAATATAAACAAAATTTAAAAATAAAATTAAGAGCCCGTTTGGCAGCACGAAAATCGGCTGTTCTGACTGATTCTGCTGAAATTTATGAAGTTCTGGTTGAAGTGGCTGCATTGGCTGATTCTGATGATACAAGAAAAAAATATTTTTAAAATATATTTTATTAATAAAATAAAGAAAAAATTATATGTAAAAATAGCTAAAATGGTCATCTACAGTAATTTCAGCCAATACAGCCAGAAAAGTAACTCCAACCTTACTTTTTCGGCTTATTACACAATTCAGCGCGCGAAAGCAAAATTTACGTGTTTGGTAAAAAAGTTGGCTGATAAGCCTGATAAGCCGAAAATGAAGGTTTCCAAACGACCTCTAAGTATACTTTATTCTCTAAAGATGGCTTATGTGATCCTACTAAAAGAACAAGTTGATTAAGGATATGTTTAGCACAACTAGCTTATAAGATACTTTTGTAAGCTTTTTAATAACTGTTAACTTTTTGTGATCGAAAAGATCTTAAAAGGAAAAGGTAGTAGCTATTTAGTAAAATGCTAACTATTTGATTTTGTTCTGTTTGGTATACAAACTTATAGTACTAATTAATACAGAGTACTATAAGTCACGGACTTTTTCAGATACTACTCCATGTAGCATCTCAAAAAAGATCTTTTAATTTTTGTAAAGCTCTTAAAAAGTACAAAACCTAAAAGATAGAGACTTATGTTTGTACAAAAGCCAAGGATATGTGTGATAACTAGCTGAAAAGATACTTTTATAAGCTTTTTGGTAACTGTTACGTAGTAGTTTTTAGTGATTGAAAAGATCATAAAGGTAAAAGGTAGTAGTTGTTTGATAAAGCTCTTAAATATCGACATAACGAACATGCATCTAAACATGTAGCAAGATATGATGAGAAGTATATACAAAGTAGGAAGATGATGGCTGAATTAGTTAACCATATCATGATATCATGATATATCCACAACAAAAGCGTTCCTACTCGACGAAATTGAGGGAAAATATCGACAACAAAAGGTTAAACGGAATCCATACAATAACATTCCAGAAATTAGTAACATATATATATTCATGAAAAAAGTAAAAAACGTAAACTTAATTAACCTAACTTTTATACTTTTAAAAGTCCACATTGAATACATCTAAACTTTTAAAATTCATGAACTTTTAAAAATTTGCCACTAAATCCTAATACAATATACCCCTAATAAGAGTCTCTTTCCAAGGTTTTATAATTTTTTCTTAAACCTAATATAAGGGAATAGATATTCATATATTTATAAAAATGAAAATTTAATTAAAATACTACTCTGTATGCGTTTAATACTTTTAAAAATTATAGAGGTCACACTCGCGTGCATACTAAATCTTAGAGCGGTGGGAGATTTGGATCAATGGATCAAGGTTCGAATCCCTGCATCGACCGGGTGGAAGTCACAGAACCTGAAATAAGATTGGACCTCTGGTGCGCACGGGTGTATGAGCCTACTGTCATTCTACTAACAGAGTCACCGTTGACTAACTTTCCTACCATCTTGTCGGGTCGGGATGAGGACTCCTGGGGCGGGAGATTCCACCTTTTTGGATCAATAGATCTTAGAGTTGACCTTGACTCAAACGAACCAGACTCATGTACAGATTGAGGTAATCGATAAAAGCAAATATTCTTTCCATCGAGAAAATTACAGTAGTAAATAGTGCTATATTCGATCTTTGAGCACTTGAATTACGAAAATGATGTCGGTTAGGCGTTGAGATTCAGAATCATGCTTTGAATTTTTCTTGGATATCTCGTGCACTTGAGCTTTTTGCCCATTGCTGTGTAGGAAATAAGGTGGGCAAAAAAAGGAAT